ACCTTTGAGCCGTACTATAAAAAAAAAAAAAAAAAACCTACCGCAGGGCGCAGAGAGGAGGAGGAGGTAGAGGAGGACGACGGAGGGGCGTCCGGGGAAGATGATTTGGTGCCGGCAGCTGCTGTGGATTTGTCTGCCGTCAGCGAGGTCTTCACAGAAGACGAAGAGCTCAAGACGTCCCCGGGTTCCTTCTGCAAACAGTGAGACAGAGGTGAATGGCACTTCCTGTGGGGCCACTCAGCACGGACGGCGGGCGGGAGAACCAATCAGCACCTTCTGATCCGAGGCTGCGTCAGAGTCTTTACAGACCACAGGGGCTTTCTTGATCACTTTGTGAAGTTTGGCTGGACCACCTGAAAACAGCATCAACAAAACAGATCAATCATCGATGAAGAACAGCATTATCGTTTTCACTCTTCATTTCTACGAGTCTGACGATACGATATATCGCAATATTGTAGTCAGGAGATATATTGAGGTGCCCCCCCCAGGTGCCCCCCCCAGTGTAGCTAGTCTCAGACTCTGCCCCCCCCAGTCTGATCCTAGTCTCAGACTCTGCCCCCCCCAGTCTGATCCTAGTCTCAGACTCTGCCCCCCCCCAGTGTAGCTAGTCTCAGACTCTGCCCCCCCCAGTGTGATCCTAGTCTCAGACTCTGCCCCCCCCAGTGTGATCCTAGTCTCAGACTCTGCCCCCCCCCAGTGTAGCTAGTCTCAGACTCTGCCCCCCCCAGTCTGATCCTAGTCTCAGACTCTGTTCCATCTGAACATCAGTTCCTAACTCTGGAACAGAAGGATCTACATTTGGAATCACTAGAGAAGAAAGAAAAGAACAAGAACATGAACCAACACCAGGAATATTGGACTGGGAGTTGGGGAGAAAAAAAAATCAATAACTGATCAATGACTGAGGACATTGATCTGGGATCAGGAGAGGAGAGATCAGGAGGTTTCAGTTTAGTGATGTTTTCCCTCTAAAAATGCCCCAAATGTCTGGTACCAGTTCCTGCTGTGGAACCATTTTATTCCCAACACCGGTGTCACAGGCTAAACCTCGACCTGCGAGTGCTGCCGACGTCACCAGCTCAGCTTGGCTGCAGCGAGGGTTGACCATGTGCTCCTGGATTAGGTAGCGAGCGATCTCTACCACGGTGTCGAAGGAACGCTTGAGGATCTTCTGCGCCCAGTCACAGATGAGCTCGCAGGCGGCCTCCGTCACCTCCTGTTTGTAGGTCTGCACCAGCTCCGTCAGCTCGGCCTGAGGAGGGAGAGCTCACAGAGTTAGCAGCGCCACGTTGTCCTGATGTCAGCGCTGACGGACGGCGGGGAAGGTACCGGGTCGTTCTTCAGGTCCAGGTTGGGCAGCAGCGGCATGTTGAGCACCGTCTTCCTCCTGATGCCGCTGTAGCAGTATGTATGAGCAGCTCAGGTTAAAGATGTCAAAGCAGCTACATTGCGTCACCTGGTGGCTAAACGTGACCACTGTTCGATTCCACAGCTAGTTTTTGACAAAGGAACGGAAGGCACAGACTGTCACGACGCTGACGCCGGAAACTGATGTTTGGCGCCCTCGCTGACAACAAAACCCGTCAGGGCTTATTCCAGCAGCAGGGGGCGTGTTAAACAGTCATAACATCCAGTTACAAGTGTCAACCCAGCTCTATTTTTCCACTCGACACTGTGTGGCGCTGTCTCCCTCACTGTCCCTGTCTGGCTTATTTTACCCATTTTTATAACAATAATCTAAAATGTTTTTTACTGATTATTATTTTATATTACCAGTATAAATAAAGGATATTTGGACTGTCCTCTGCCGCCCAGTCTCCGGGCCTTGATGTTTGGGAAAATGTCTCTGATGATCTTTCCAAAGTTGGCTGCACTCAGAGGCCGGTGCTGCAGGTTCTCGCAGTATCTCCTGTGGGACAGCAGTGGGAGGAGTCAGGGTGTCACATGACTAACGCAGGCTCACAGAGCGTGGTGAGGGTGGTGTGTGAGTGCGTCTCACTTGTAGGTCTCATAGACGTCCTGTTTGGGAAGACAGGTGTCTGAGTGCTCCTCCAGGTGGGAGCGGATCCAGGTACAGGGGTGGAGCTGGTCTGCAGTGTTGAAGGAGCCCGAGTCGCCCACACTGCACACACACACACACACACACACAAACACACTCGCAGGTCAGGGGTCAGGCTTTGGATGGCCTCTTGGACCACACCCAGTTGACCCCTGCTCTCTGACTGACCTCTTGTCTCCAGAGCTGGGTCCTGAGGGCAGTTGGAGGTACAAGTACAGTTTGTCGGTGTATGAGAACCGCTGAACATCCTGCTGCAGAGGCAAAAACACAAGAACGACAGGATTAAAGCATTAGGTTTAAATGAATACGAATAGAATTAGTCAGGCAGG